GGGCGCCGCGGTTAGTATCTTCTTATCCTCAGGCATTCGGAGCGGCGGAATTCGGCAGCCATTCTATTCTCACGCATGCGCACATAGAGTGAGGACAGAATGGTGATTTTACAGAATCCTTCCCTTGGAATGAGAAGGGAATGGAGATTTTACAGTATCCTTTCTCCAGGAGTGGGGAGGGAATGGGGATTTTGCAGTATCATTCCCCTGGAGTGGGGAGGGAATGGAGATTTTGTAGTATTCTTCCCCTGGAGTGGGGAGGGAATGGAGATTTTGCACTATAGTTCCCCTGTCATGCCCACAAAACCAGTAGCAATTTTTTTTAATCCCATCACTGCTTCCTATGGTCATTAGCTCACTGGATGGAATTTATTTATTTGTACAAATGAATCCCAAAAGCCAAACGACCAGACTGAAAAGAAATAGCAAAAACTTAACGCAAGCCACAAACCAGCCTCAAGAAATGGTAACGAACACAGAAAATGTGTTAATTTCAGGTACCAGAAAGCAACTAAAATTGCCAGGAATGATGCAGGAAAAAATTCCCATTGCTGCTCCAAAGACAGTCAACTGGATTCTGGGTGAAGTTCTCTGGAGGAAGCACTCCATGGAAAAGGAAGCTTCAGGGATGTCCAAAAGGAAGGGCATAAAAGTCAAGGTGATTGTACCATCATTGACACCATCTTGACTTGTTGACCCCCCCACTGCAGATACTTCTGGTCATCTTGATGCAATAGCCGGAGAGTCATATGAAATAAGGAAGACTCTTCTCCAGAGCAGATCACAATTCCTAAGGAGAAACAGCAGGTTTGAACTGAGTTCTTCACAATCTTCCACTGGTTCACTCCTGATTTTATGTATTCAATTTCTACACCACCCATCTCACCTAAGGGACCCCAGGTGGCCTACAACAACCCCAACCAAACCAGCCACTTCTCACTTTCAAAAGTAGGTAAGCATAAGAACACTAAGAACACGCTAACACATTAGCGGAACAGTTTCCTTGGTTAACTAGACATTTTTCATCCTCACAAAGGTTTGTACTGAATGTAACATTTGCTATACTGTGATAAGTGAAAAAAATCCAGTATGGTTTCCTGAACATTTTGTAAGACCAGAGGTTTAGCCGGTTTGTGCTGGTTTGGGTGAACCAGATGTTAATTTTATCTCCAGTTCAGCGACCTGGTAGTTCCAATCACCGGCTGGCCCTGCCCCACCTCTCCCCTCCCAGGAGTCTCCACGCACCTTGTTCTAGTCTGTTTTCGCTCCCAGGAGGCTGCAGGGAGCTCTCCTAGAGCCAAAATGGGGCACGGGGGAGGTGCATCCCCCTCCACAGCCCATTTATGCTCCCAGGAGGCTGCAGGGAGGTCTATTAGACCCAAAGTGGGGCATGGAGGGGCAGCGTGCTCCTCCTGCGGCTTTTTTTTGTTCCCAGAGTTCCCATCAGTGGGACTTCTTCCACTTCAGATCTGAACCTTAGAGTTCATGTTTAGCATTTACTGATAGAGAGGTTCTCCAGGAATTTCTCCCTCTCTTTATCTTTTTTTTTAAGGACAATTCCATGTTTCCCTGAAAATAAGACCTCCAAGGCAAAGCGCTTATTTAGGAGGTCGAAAGAAAATAAGACCCTGTCTTATTTCCGAGAAACTCGGTTGTGGCCATATCAAATGATAGCAATAGCCATAGCACTTATCAATAGCTAAGTGCTTTTTTACATGATGATGATGATGATGATGATGATGATGATGATNGGGTCCTCATTTTACCCACCTCGGAAGGATGGAAGGCTGAGTCAACCCTGAGCCGGTGAGATTTGAACCGCTGAACTGCTGATCTAGGAGGAACATGAGCCAGTCCTGGAGTCTGGGGGAGGCTCTGATGAGGGCTCTGTGTTGGAGGCAGAGAGGGGACCAGGGCCATATGCCAGCTATAAGATGCCTTCAGAGTCAGACATTAGTGAGGCAGATGAACAGCTGGAGCCTGTTCCCAGTGTATGATGTGCAGAGTTGCCAGACGAAGGGAACAGCTAAAGAACAGGGGTCGACTTGGGAGTAAGGCCACAGGTGGACGATCAATGCCCCCCCCCAAGAGGGAATAAAAGAGGAGCAAAAGGGGAGTGGAGTTTGCAGGAGACAATTAGTTCATTCCCACATTCTTGCCAAGTATTGGGGTGTCTGAAAGATATCAGCCTGGTAACTCTCCAAGCCTGATGAAGGTCAGTAATTGTGAACTATCTTGGGAGACTGTGGGTCAAGACTTTGCTGGAGAAGAATTCACTGTAAATTAAATAAAAAGGGTTTATTGGGATGAGGACTCAGCTTTGTGCTGCTGGGGAAATCTAGGTCAGAACAGAAATGTAAAAATGGAGGGTGGCTTCAATCATGGGTTTCTAGCTACCATCTTGATTTTTTTTTACATCAATCCCAGTCCATGGATACCCACAAATGAAGCTTTGTTTGGAGTTGGATAGACCTGAGCTCCCAAAACTGAGCTCTTACCCAGGAAGAAAGCTTTGTGTGCTTGTTCATTTGTTTGTGTGTCTCCATCTGTAAATACAGGTAGTCCTCAACACACAACTACAACTGAGCCCAACATTTGCGTTGCGAAGCAAGACAATAGTTAAGTGAATTTTGATCCATTTTACAACCTTTCATGCCACCGCTGCTAAGTGAAGGAAGGAAGGAATAGCAATAGCATTTAGACATATACCATTTTACAGTGCTTTCCAACCCCCTCTAAATGATTTACAGAGCCAGCCTATTGCCCCCAACAATCTGGCTCCTCATTTTACTGACCTCAGAAGGATGGAAGGCTGAGTCAAGTTTGAGCCAGTCAGTATCGAACTCCTGGCAGGGGGCAGAGTTTGCCTGCAATACTGCATTTTAACCACTGTGGTTCCAGGAAGGAGAAGGAGAAAGGGAATATGAGAGAGACAAAGGAAGGAAGGAAGGAAGGAAGGAAGGAAGGAAGGAAGGAAGGAAGGAAGCACTTGGACTTATTTACAACTTTCCAGCCTTCTCTAAGCGGTTTACAGAGTTGACCTCTTGCCCCCAACAATCTGGGTCCTCATTTTACTCACCTTGGGAGGATGGAAGGCTGAGTCAACCCTTGAGCTGGTGAGACTCAAACTGCAAGCAGCCAGCAATCAGCAGAAATAGCCTGCAGTACTGCATTCTAACCACTGCACCATCACGTCTCATGTGCGTATATATAGATTAGGAGTAGGGTTCCTAGGTATTTATGTATCAGTAGGTATTTCTCTTGTGCCCAGCCCATTCCTGGCTGTGCTACTAGGAATTTTTGGAGTTGAAACCCAATCTTCTGGAACGGGTACCAGCTTGGAACAAAGATAATACAGATTAGTTTTGTTTTTTCTAAATCAGTTTTCTCACTTCTGTCTCCCCCAGATTCCACTGCATTGTTCTTCCTTTCCAAGAGAGGCTCAGCCTTCCCAAGGCCTCGGTGATTATTATTGTGGTGTGGTTGCTCTCCGTAGCCATCATGTGCCCTTCAGCCATCATGCTCACTGTTGGCCAGCTGGAAGGCCACTACATGGTTCTTGGCAATGGCAAGAATGCCACTTACCCCCTCTATACCTGCTATGAAGCTTGGTCAGACAACAGCATGAGAAAACTCTACACAACAATTCTCTTTGTCCATATCTACTTGGTGCCGCTGACACTCATTGTCTTCATGTATGGAAGGGTTTGCCTAAAGCTTTGCAATTCTACTGTGCCCGTCCCTGAACACTTGCCTTGTGCCAACCGAGCCAATGGCACCTCCAAAAAGAGAATCAAGATCATCAAGATGCTAATCTTGGTCACACTCCTCTTCATGCTCTCCTGGTTACCTTTGTGGACTCTCATGCTGTTGGTGGATTACATGGATTTGGCTGATGATCACCTGGACTTGCTAACTAGTTACGCCTTCCCTTTTGCTCACTGGCTGGCTTTTTCTAACAGTAGCATCAACCCTGTCATTTACGGCTACTATAATGAAAACTTCAGAAGGAGCTTCCAGGCTGCTTTTAAGTTCCAGTTCTGCTCCCAGGAATTGACCACGCAGGAACCTTATTCTGAGCACCCACTCGGCCCCATCAACAAAATCTTCACCCAGGCAAACTCATCTAACTCTTCATCCTTGCAGCTGACTCACCTGTCCTCGAGGAAAACTCAACCCAAGTACCCAAGCCCTATCTTAGAAGACATTGATAAAAGTATGACTTACCATGTTGTTAACCATGCTTGGAAGAAAACCAGAACTTAAGAACAATGAAAACAAGGGTGTTAATGAAAAAAACCCCACCTTTTCCCATACATTGCTACTTCTCCTCTTGCCCCCAAATCTCAGCTGCTCTATGTTGTATAATGTAGAACAATGTTTCTCAATATTGCTGACTTATAAGGTGTGTGGACCTCAACTCCCAGGATTTTACAAACTAAGGATTATTCAGATAAGAAGGAAAGCAAAAGAACATCAACTTTGATTGAATAAGGATATACAACATCATGCCTTGGTTTTATGACTTCCTATCAGAGGTGGTATTCAGCTGGTTCTGACTGTTTCTAGTGAACTGGTAGCGGAAATTTTGAGTAGTTCAGAGAAGCAGTAAATACCACCTCTAGCTGGCCCTGCCCTCATCTATTTGCTGCCTCATGAGTCCTAGCTGATTGGTGTCCCACCCGATTGGCTGGGTCTTCTTTTGTTGCCCTGCACAGAATGAAGCTGAAAAGCAGGTTAGTGGGGTGGGGAGGAATGGGGCTTTTACAGTATCCTTTCCCTGGAGTAATGTTTGTAATGTTTGTAATGTTTATTAACATTTGTAGGCCGCCCTTTTCCCTGAGGGGACTCAGGGCGGCTCACATAAAATCAGGGAGGGGAAGTACAAACAGTGACATAAACACATATATTAAAATAATGTAATGGAAACTCTTTCATAAAACAATTTTTTTCA